TTTCACTTTTTAGTCAATTGTTAGACTGTGTTCTGTCTATTTTGAGTTGGTTATTAAGGTAAGTGATCTACTGCTATCTTCCTTTATCCAAGGTCTCCTGCGAGGACTTAGGAATCTGAGGGGTAGTGGACTAATGGGTCACCACTCCTTAGACCTTTTCAAGTTGGCAGCTTGATCTGATTTAAATTGCTCTTGCTGATTAACTGCGTATCTTCATATTAGATTGTTACATTGAAATCTTTATTGTTCTCTCTCACCGTCTATACTTATTATATAGCATGTATGGCATATAAACTTGAATCCATGACTTTATCTGTAATCATGACTACTGCACAAAAATTTGGGGTAGAAATTTGGAGAGGGACTGGAGACTTTAATTTGTGGCGACAGAAAATGAGAGCTCTGTTGTTATAACAAAGATGTGTTGGGGCTATTGATGGGATTGGGGTATTAAGATTAGTGCCTATAGAAGATAGGAATTAGATGAGATTGCTTGGAGCTCTATATTTTTTCATCTATCTGATAGTGTTATTAGAAAGTTTGGAAAAGCCACTAATACACTAGGTCTTTGGACCAAACTTGAGTCCCTATATTTGACTAAATCTATGCCTAATAAATGCTACCTGTTGAGGCAATTTTATAATTTTAGATTTGACCTCTCTTAAAGCTTAGAAGAAAACATTGATAAATTCACAAGATTGATTCAAGAATTAACTGACTGTGATGAGAAACTGTCTAAAGATCAACAAGTTGTTGCTTTGTTAAATGCACTGGGTGATAACTACAGAGATCTGCGAAATGCCATAGAGTGTGGGAGAATTGACCTTACTGCTTATATTGTTATATAATGTTTAAGGAACAGAGAACTTGAATTGAAATCTGAAACTAAAGATCCTAAGTTTGGGGAAGGTCTAAATGTTAGGGAAAATGTAAATCAAAATAAAAAGACCAATCAGAACAATCTATGCAATTTCAATTCACACAAGAAAGGAAGACCTCAATTTCCAAAAGGAATCAAAATAAATCTCAAATAAAACCCAAGTTACTAGCCAGAAAATGTTACTATTGTGGTAAAACTGGACATCTCGTAAAAGACTGCTTTAAGAAAATATCTGATATGAAAGGAAGAACAAATGCAGATGGGTCTGCAGCTATTGCCTGCAATAATGAATTTGATATATATATATATATATGGAGTTCTTCTTGTTACCATATCTAAAAGAAACCTAAATGAATGGGTGTTGGACTCTAGGTGTTCTTTTCATATATGTCCCATTAAAGAATGGTTCACAAACTTTACTAAACTTAGTGGTGGTCAAGTTCAAATGGGCAAATAAAAGGTATTGGAAACCTAAAGCTTTTGCTAGAAAATAATAACACCCTTGAACTATCCTAAACAAGATATATGTCTAATCTTCAAAGAAATCCGATCTCTCTTGGATAGTTGGATGATGAATTTGAAATTAGAATCCATAAAGGATTAATCAGAATAAGTCTAAACTCTAAAGAAATAATTTCTTCTCCCAGGTCCAATGGGATTTTCACATTGCAGGCTGAACCATTGGTTGGAAATAACTCTGCTGTTGTGAAGTCTAATGATAACAAAACCTTAATTTGGCATAAGAGATTAGGCCACATTAGTGAAAAGGGATTAACTATTTTAAATAGATTAAAATGTTTTGGAAAGGATATCATTGAAAAACTCGAGTTTTTTGAAGATTGTGTTATTGTTAAACAAAATAAAATGCCTTTTAAAATCGGGATCCATAAATCCACCTCCAAACTTGAGTATCTACATGTTGACCTGTGGGGTCCAACATCAGTAAGTACTCTAAGTGGTTTCAGATTTTATCTGTTAATTGTAGATGATTTTTCAAGAAAATTTTGGACTTTTCTTTTAAAACACAAATATGATATTCTCCAAACTTTTAAGCAATGGAAACTTATGATAAAAAATCAGACAAATAAGAAGATCAAAGAACTTTTGTAACTTTGAATTTGACTCCATTTGTAAAGAATCTTGAATTTTACGGCTCTGAACAGTAACATACACTCCTCGACAGAATGGTATTGCTGAAAGGATGAATATAACTTTGTTGGAGAAGGTCAGGTGTATGTTACTAAGTTCTGGACTTCCAAAATTCTTTTGGGGATAAGCTTTAAAAACTGCCACTTATCTGATAAATAGAATTCCTTCGAGTGTTATTGATTTTCAAATCCCTGAATATTTGTGGTTTGGAAAGTCTCCAAACTATTGACTATAGTAAAGTATTTTCACCCGTTACTAAATACACCTCTATCAGAATTCTATTGACTTTGACAGCACACTTTAACTGAGAATTGGACCAACTTGATGTTAAGATTGCATTCTTAAATGGTGACCTTAAAGAAACCATTTATATGAATTAGCCAAAGGGTTTTGAAATAAACAGAAAATCTGAACAGGCCTGTTTGTTAAAAAAGTTACTCTATGAATTGAAACAAGTACCTCAAGCAATGGTATAAGAAATTTTACGCTTATGTTCAAAATCTGGGATTTCTTAAGTGTAATTTTGATTCTTGTTTTTTCTTTAAAGGGTCAGGAGGACTAATCCTCTCTATCTCTTATTATATGTTAATGCTATGCTTATTGCTTGCCATGATAGACTTGAAATTGATTATATTAAAGAAAAACTCAAAATTGAATTTGAAAGGAAAGATTTATGACAAGCAAAAAAAATTTTAGGCATGGAGATTAAGAAAGATAGAAAGAACTGTATTTTGT